CTTTTCAGTCAGCTGTGACTGGAAATATTGAATTTCGTGACGTGCGATTCCGATATCCTGCTCGCCCTAAACTTCGTATCTTACGTCACTTTAATCTACTTTGCAATTCCAGTGAAACAACTGCGCTCGTAGGTCCATCCGGCAGTGGCAAATCGACGTCTGTTGCATTGATTCAGCGGTTTTATGATCCGCTCACTGGAGCAGTTCTTCTCGACGGACACGATGTCAGAACTTTAAATATACAATGGTTACGTTCTCTACTGGGCTTGGTTCAACAGGAACCTGTTCTTTTCAATCTTTCCATTCGAGATAATATTGCATATGGCGATAATAATCGAGAAGTAACACAAGAAGATATTGAACTAGCAGCAAAAAAGGCTAATATTCATGATTTGATTTCCACGTTACCCGAGGTTTGTTGCATGCCTGCATCGATGATTTTCTCACATACCGGTCATGCTTTTTAGGGATATAGTACATCATGTGGTGCAAAAGGTGGGCAATTGTCCGGTGGACAAAAACAACGAAGTAAATTTCTTTCACGTCCTACAGCGCATGTCATTCTGATATTCTCTCTAGTCGCCATCGCTCGAGCGCTCATTCGGAATCCAAAAATTCTTCTTCTCGATGAAGCTACATCTGCCCTGGATAACAAGAGTGAACGAGTTGTGCAAGAAGCGTTGGACCAAGCGCGAGCTGGTCGAACATGTGTGACCATCGCACATCGTTTATCAACAATACGAAATTCAGATCGAATTTGTGTAGTCGATCGTGGAGAAATCAAAGAAAGTGGTCGACACGATCAGTTACTTCAAGAGCGTGGTATTTATTATAAATTAAACATGGCTCAAGAACGTCCAGACAACTCGCAAGACAAATGAATCGTTTTTTTTCGACTGTGATGTATTTATTTACTTGTTAAGTTTTTTTTTTATAGTCTTTTAGGAAAATAAAATTCTTTATCCCTGAATAAATCTAAATATCTGTCAAGAGATTGCTATTTTAATGGTGTTGTTATTGCATATACATCGGACATTCCGAAGATGATGAAAGCGATTTGTTTACATAAATCTGGTTTAGACTGTCGTTATAAGAGGAATGCTTCTGTAATAGCAGATTTGTAAGATGATGATTTTTTGACTGCGCAGACAAGCATAAAGATCAGAACTATTTTTCTTCAATATTTTTTATTACACAATCAAAAAATGTGCATAGACAATAGGCAAACGACAAAACGCATTTCGGTTTCTTTTTTTTCTCTCAGTTTTCATCAAATGTAAAGTAATATGAAGAAAAGAAAAAAACTGATTAATGTGTACGTTGTGTAAAGAATCAAAGAAGCAACAACAACGAAACAGAAGTAGTAGAAGAAGAGAAAAAGTAGCCGATTAGAATACACACACACAGAAGAAAACAAAAAGAAACATGTATATATTGTTTGTCTTTCTTGTCTAATAGTAAACACATCGAAGAGATACGAACACAGACTTGGAAACAAAAGGAAAATCCATCTGTTTTATTTCTTCGAGTTGAAGTCAAATTGAACTCAGTTATCTGCAGGCGATCGTGATCGACTTAGACGGCGAGCACCACCACCACCACCAGCACTGCTGCTTCCTGCACCATTGCGTTTACCATAATTGGGTGAATTGGATTTCGATCGAGAACGGCTGTTACCTTCCCTAAAAGGAAAAATACAAACAAATCATTAATCGTCTCAGAGATCTTAGTGGAATAGTCCTATCGTCATCCCTCATTAGGTCGAGAGTAGCAACTATGTGTGATCATCACCGACGATTAACTTACCGTCGTCGTACGGGAGAACGTGAGTACGGCGAACGTGATCGACTGTCGCCTCGGCGTCGATCTCTGCCAACTGGCGAACCACTGCGTTGACGACGATCACGGCTAAATGTATAGAAATGAAAATAAAATGTCAAGCGCGAGCTGTAATAAGAACTTACCTTCGAGATCGATCGCGCCGTTCATAATCACCACCCCGGCCACCATGACGCGCTTCTTTTTCTCGAGCTCTCATTTCCGATGGTGCTAGAAGAGGCAAAACAAGAGAATGGATGCATTCTTATTCCAACCATTGTTACTTACTTTTACGATCGCCTCGTGCAAATTCAACTTCGAGTTCTCGTCCTAATAGTCGATAACGATCAAGTGCACGTCGAGCTTCCTCTAAAAGATCCAAGAACCAATGTCTTCTTTCACAAGAAACTTTTTCATTTTCACTTACCGGCATCACGACTTTCTTCGTATTCAACAAAGCCGAATCCCTTTGCATCTCGAGTGTAGTAATCTAATGGAAGCGTAATGTCAACAATACGACCATATCTTCCAAAGATTTTCTTCAGATCTTCGTAGCTAAATCAAATAAACATTTACTCATCACAAATCTTCAACGAGGTATTCACTGGCATGATGGACAACGAATTCTCCGTTCTACACAAACGAGAAGTATTCATAACGAAGGGAAAATATGAAGTCTCAACTCGAGCGTCTCTCATCTCTAGCAAAAGCTATGGTGTGATGCATACGTCTACTGCTTGTATTTTGTTTTGAAAACTGCTGATGTGCTGTCTGGTACGTAATCGCCAGTTTGTGCGGAAATGGATCTCATTTATTGAACCTTGTCTGTTCTTTTGAATTTGTCTGGGAATTTAGTTAAAAAAGTCTTTCTGTTTTTTGGAATTTGCTTGATGGTTTAGTTAGGATTTTGAAGAGTATAGACGATTGCTTGTAGAGTCTTGCGTCAAAAGAATGGGACAATGTATGTATGTGTCTGTATGTGATTTTAGTTATTTGTTTGATCACGTTTGTAACACACCTTAGGAAAGAGAAAAGAAAATAAATGAGACAAATTACAGGAAAACATAAAGCCATGCGTTTTTCACTTCGACTGTTTTCTAGGGGGAATCGATGCCTTTTTACGTGTAGAAAACAAACACTACGTGGCAGAAACAAATGTATTTGAAAGAGCAAATAACATACCGAACTTTTTCCGAAAGGCCACGAACATAAAGTGAGGCGCTAAGATTTCGCGAGTGTCGACCGGACATATCGTGTGAGTGTAATTTCTTCAAATGAATCAATAACTTCCAACGTACGAGAGAAAAGAGAAAGAAATGTTGTATATTTAAGTTGACCTCTAAATGCATAGACGTGTAAGTTGCTTAATGCATTCCTATTGGCTGATTATTTTATGTATAGTCGAGTTTGTCGCTTCATCATACTCAGTCGGACCGGGATTATTCTTTGAACGAAAAAAACAAAGATATGTCGAAATCAATTGTCAAGAAAGCTTTAGAAATGCTCGATGAACACGATGACGGAATGAAATCGAAAAACAAATTAAATTCACTGAAGAAGAAAAAGAAAAGAAATATGACCATTGTCACTGAGCCGACGAAATTTCAAGATCGAAAGCAATTGGCACGAACATGTTTAACATTGAAGAAGCTCTCCAAACCGGTTGTGACATCGGATCAAATTGAACAAATAAATAATTATCGTTTCGGTGGTCCGTCGAAAAGAACTTTGAAAGAGAAAAAGAAAACCGAAGAAAAAGAAATTTTCACTGAAGAAGATTTTAAACGTTTTGAAAGAGAATACAATCCACCATTACAAAAATCGTGATTTTTCTCTTTTCAGATCTGTTTCTTCCTTCTCCTACACAGTTCAATCGTATTACTATTATGGAAAGTAAGTTTGCCATGGGATCTTTCATTCGAAAACTGCTGCCTTTTTGACCTTTCATAGCGCCAAAACGAACAGCAATAACTGCTGATTCCTCAGCATTAGCTGAATCCGCCGGTGGTCTTGCCTTTGAAGTCAAACTCGGTGAATCGCCCCGTCACAGTGCAACTCAACCACCGTTACATTTTCTTTCGCCAAGTGCCAAAGGAAATCAAACAGATTTAAGCGCACCATTAACACCGGAAAGTATAACTGAAAAGTTGAAACGTGCTGAAGAACGTCGATTAAGTTTGGAACAACTTCGTGCCACATTGCTTGCAGCTGAAAACAATCGACCCGGTGAGATCAGTAAGATCAAAGATCAACAAGCTGAAGGTAGTTATCAATCGCATTCATCGAAACAAACGATAACATATTTTGTTTGTAGAATTTCGCAAACAAACCGAAGAAAAATTACAAAAAAAGCTCGAGTCAGCGAAAGAAAATCGCGAACGTGTCTTACAAGCGAAAGTCGAAAAAGCGAAAGCACCGATTGAGAAAGGTCTTGCCAGTGTTCAACAAAATTTAGCTAAACTCGAAGAAGAACGACAATCATTACAAGAGAAAATCAATCAAAAATTGAACACAGCTGAAACAAGTACGTTCGCCTTTTTTTTTATCCCTACACATTTATTTCATTCTTCGTCCGACCTTGCAGATCGACAAGAACAATTAGATCGTTTGATGGAAAAATTGAATGAACATGATAAAAAAATTGAAGCCATCAAAAGTCAAGCCAAATTGGAAGCAGTCTCAACAGAAGAAACACAATAATTCGGACTTGATTTTATTTTCTTTCATCTACGCTTGTGACTTTTGTCCTCGGCGAAATATTTCTCAACTCAGATATTCTTCTTTCATCTTCATGTCGGATACTTCTTATTTTTCTTTTGTATAATAAAAACGGACGTTTCTTATTAATCATGACATTTCATTCGTGCTTTAATTAGAAGCAGCAATCGTCCGCATTGGCCCACTTTAGCTGATTACATAGACTTGTACGTTTCAGAAGAAAGGATATAAATCGATTATAATTATCATAGATCATCGAAACGTACTTTTCGGAGCATTGCTTCACTTTTAAGATAAATTTGTTAAAAGTTTAGATACAGACGAGGCTACAATGTGTGTTCTCTATTGCATTAAATACAGTCATATAAAAAAAAAGTTTCCTTTGGAAGACACACAATTCAGACAAAGAAAAATAAATAAATCTGAGACCACATTCATTCATAAATAACTGCTTGAGTATTTGTTTACAATCCAAGACGGGCGAAAGCCATCTGTTTCCGTCGTTCGAGGATTCTGTCGAAACGAACTTCAGCTAAACGAAAACATATTTAATTGAACATCGATGTGGTCTTCTATAGACATACTTGAACTTTTGACCAAACCACTTTGGACGTGTCGAACGAATGTAAAGAAATCACAAACACTCGCGATCTGCGTTAACAGAAAGTTATTATGTTGAAGAAAATAACAACAGGATTCGTACCCGATTACGTGCCAAACGTGATATGAAATACCATAAGCCATCTTCACTCAACCGAATTCGAAAGTCACACTGACAAACTTCACCCATCAATGAGCACATTCTGAAAAATCAGTGTAAGACATCTTCATATTCATGTGTAGGATAATTTACTTGAGATTTCCAGTCGAATGGCAAACTTCCATAGTTACACAATTATTTTCAATTGCTTCGAGGACTTTTGATGAAAGCTGCAAATACGAGTACATTTATGATTAGAATTTCTACATTTCCATTTGTCCTACTTCGGTGTTCGGGAATGATAAACATGGTAGAATATCTTCGTTATAAACTCGATAGATAAATAGCGATGCATCGCGTTCAATCGATGGGTTTTCATCCCAAGATGTAAATTCTCGTAATAGAACCTCATCGATCTAAATTTCGATATGTACTTCAACTATTTGATGGTAGAGATGATTGACATACATGGTTATGATTAGGTGACATATCCATTGATGTTCGACAAGAACTTAGAATTTGTTTCAGTTCGCTAATTGATTTCTTCAATTGAACATTTTCGAGCACGAGAGCATCGATCTATAATTGAAAAATTTAATCTTATGTTTCCAGTCGAAGTCAAGAAACATTTCTACCGTTTGATTTGAAACTTTAAGCTTCTGTTCTGCATTCGCTTGAGCTTGTTTCGCTTGATCTACCATAGCATGCGCTGACTAGAACAAAACACATATTCATAGATTTGAACATCGTCTTCTACTAGTTACTTCGAATAATGATGTTGTTAGATCTTCAATTTCTCGATCGGTACTTTCACGTATTTGATTAGCTCGAAGAATTTCATGATCTTTATACTTCAAATCTTCTTTCACACGCTGTAGTTCATAGAATAACTTTTCAGCTGTGCTTGACGATGAATCGTATTCATGCAGATCTTGAGACGCTACAACTCCACTATCAATACTGAACGCTCTAGAAAAATAATTCATCGGCGAATGATCATCTTCAAACAAAAGCATACGAATCCACACTGTTGGCATCACTTAAATCGTTACGATGATCGAGTATGATTTCAGATGATGGAGATTGTTCTACCATGATTATCTAAAAAAAGGAAATCTCGAAGATTAAGTATAAATGGCGGAAAAATTCTTGAGAAGAAAAAGAACGTAGGTAGCAGGAATAATTAGCAGAATACCGTCGGCGCCTTCGGTGCTTATCAACTTCGTTAGATGTTAAAGATTAATATCCGATTAAGTGGATCAAAAAGCCCTTCGAGAACTACTAGAAGGCTCCTTTTCTATCCCTGTCGTGTAATTAGCACAAGCAAAAAGATCATTTTCAACTGAAATTTCTCTAGAGAATCTCGACTGAATGATTTGGTTTATTTTACATACAGTATAAAATCATGACTTGTTTCAATTTCGACTTTTCTCGATCCTTTTTTGCTTGTCATAGACTTACCTGTGTAGGATTTATACAAATAAGTAAATAGAAGAAAAAGGCAAGAACGTCAAAGATGACAATCACGCCCGTATATTTTTTCCTCCTACGTCGAGACGACACAAACAGTCTAAAACAACAACTCAATCCACCACTAGTTGTTGGTTCGTATAGATGACGTTCAACATCATCACTTGTTCTTCGCACTATGGAAATTGAGCCAAGTCATTCCTGTGGCATTTGAAATCTAGCTCGAGTGTACGGAAGTTGAGAGTAAATATCAAATTTTTATACTCAACATTAAAAATTAATAGAAATAACAAACAGATCAAACACTTCCGCTCCGAAATTAAAAAGTTAACCAGAAATTCTCCCAATACAAATCGACGAGGGTACATGCACATTCTTGGAAGGGCTGAAAGAACACAAAGTCTCCAAAAATAACACTAGCTGTCCTGAATCACGAAACATTTTATTTTCGAAGAGAAAAATGTTCCTGACAACGGCATGCAGCCAGAAGAGTTCATATAATCAAGAACTGCTTGCTCGCATCGACAGATAAGATCATAACTTTGAAGAATCTTTTTATGTGACATAAGTACTTGTCGCCTATCCTCGAACTTTCACCATAGCTATTTAAGGATTGATAGATTTTGTTATGATACATATGATCTGTTGTCTTTTTTGTGGCGAATGCTCTTCCTTAGAGATTAGCACTGTTTAGATAGAAGTTCTCGTCGTGCGGATAATTTCTACCGAGCGGATGTCTTTGTTCATTTTTCACATAAAATATTCAGAAAAACCTTAAAGATTAATTCCACTTCCTTTTCCGTCATTTAAAGGAGAGAAAAAAACAAAAAATAATAATTTATATGCTTTTAACAAATAATGTCTTTCTAATTGGTTTTTGTTTTTATAAATATAGTAATTCTATCAGGTAGTTTAATGAGCAAGATATCCGTTGCTGAAGAGAAAAGAAAGAAAACAAATCCGCTTTTTGAACACGATGCTGTCTGCTAATTTGTCCGATGATTAATAGATCGACTAGTATATTCTTGTATTTTTTCTCTGAAATAAAAGAGAAAACAAAGGAAGTTTCTGGCTGAGATGTGGAGTATTCGCTTTGCAATCGTCTCCTTCATTGTCAATACCTGATCAATGTTTTCACACTCATATTGCGTGCAATTGTCATGGCCATGATCGTTTGTTCTCGTCGATTTCTCTTTTTTTTGTATTCAAATTTCTTCTTAGGGAATAATAATAATGGGAGCAACAACGGACGTCAACCTCCCTACACGCACACACACACACAGTTCTCTCCTATTCTTCATCATCTCATAAGTTTTGGAATGATGTTAGCTATAGGCATCCTCGTCGTCGAGCATGAAAACCTGAACGCGAGTATTGAGATGAAAGAAAAAAAACGATGTCAAACAGAAATACCTTTATTTGCATTATGGTGCACGTTCAAAAGTAAACATTGATCGTTCTACGCTTTTCCTTGAAGAGATTAATGAGTGGGACAGGCTGATGGTGTAATAGCAGATCGCATACCACATGTGTTCGTATGAGTTAAAGCTTGCCACTCACGTAAATATTCGCATTTTCACTTGAAGTTTTTCTTTAGATAAACATGAAACTATAGAATTCGTCTTTTTCTTCGTATAAGTATCTTTATGTCGAATATAAACAATCAAATCGATGTTAATATGTCGAACGATTTGCTCGCTAGCTCATTACCAGCTCGGTCAGGTCTTTATCGTTCTCTGTCAGCTAAGCGTTCTCGAGATCCTTCACATCGCAAAAGTGTTTCATTCAACGACGTCCCCACGGTGCATGAAGTACCTCTCTACGATTCCGTACGCAATTCTAATTATGATCCTTATCGATCGTGGATTTATGCAGAACCGGCATCATCAACATCGATTAATTCACCATTTTCTTCGTCACCGCTTCATATAACCAGTGCTACGAATCACAAACCATATACTACATTGACTCGTTCAAATAGTACTCTCTATTCTTCGACAAGTCGACTGGCAGATTGGTCTATGCGGACTAAAACATTGAAAATTACTGAAGATTCACTCGATCATAATTCATCGTGCAATCCACCATTAATTGTTGTTCATACACCAGAAGAACGATCACGTATGAATACGAATACGGAATTCAATCTGTTAGTAACACCTGAAACTGTTGAAGAACGAAAACGTTCATATCGTCCAGCCACTCCGCATCATCCTCATCAGTCCGAACATGTTCGCAGTCTTCCATTCACTTATGTACCCATGTCTGAATCCAGTATTACATACACATCATTATTATCATCAGCAAATTCCTCTTCTAATGAGCACATGCCGGCTGGAAACACACGTTCAGGGCGTGTGCGATCAGCGACACTACCTTTCACTACGAACCAGCATTCAACACGTCATAATGAAAATAGCGTAACCGTAGCAACGCGTCCGACAACTTCTTCTTCGCGAACTGTTTTGAAACCAGCAACAATAGCTTTTCAATGCGCACAGCCAAGTATTAATTTCTCTGTTACAAAACCACCTACTGTTCCAGTTCGTTCAACATCTTCTGCTGCTCATGCACGACTGTTATACTCGTTAAATCGACCGTTATCTTCCGCGTACCGTTATAATACCACTCATCCTGTACCAGATTCGCTAAGCAAGCCTTCTCCTACTAACTCACTTACACGTTCACGATCAGCTAATCTTATAAGTACAAGGCGTCATGCAAATTCACCAATTCCTACTCTTGATGGACAGTCAGAGGGAACTAATAACTATTTGTCAAGCAAACGTACTCCGAATATAAGACACACTTATGGTTCCGATTACACTCATCGCCTTCTGTTACCAGCGGATATTAATTGAAAGACACTCATTGTATTTTTCTCCTTCTTTTTTCTTTTCGTGGTAATTGATTTTCATGCGCTCGAAAACTTAATCATCATATATATATGTGTATATATGTATTTGCACACGTATCTAGATCGAATTGATTGCATTTTATAAATTATCTCCATCAACAACGTAGAAGATTCTCTTAAGCCTTTCCTTTCCTTTCTCTTCCCCTTCTTCATCCACTTAATCGTCATGAGAAGCTGTCATATACCACAGTCGAAGTCATTCCATACCGAGTTAAACATTTAAAAAAAAAGAAAAAGACATCAGTTTTGAAAAGTGTGAACAACACGATGTTTATCATAGTTCTCTCTTCTTATTTTATCGATAAATTAAGATAGCACTACGGTTATATATATGTTCCATCTGACTATCATTCCCATCGTTACATGTAAATGACTTATGATTGTTAGCTTACGATACCATTCTCACCATCAATGTTGGCTTAAGAGATAGGCAAAACGAATCTCTCTCTCTCTCTTCTTTCTCTGTATATATTGAAGTGCATACTGTTCGTCTTTTCGTATTCTGTTTCGTTTAAAAATTAGAGAAGCGAGTTGTTGTTTTTCTTCGATAGGAGTCATTCAATTGAAAGTTGATCTTCACTTGCGCTCGATCGTGCGAGTTAGGACGGACAATGACAATGAAGAAAAAAATTCTTTGTTCGTCTGGCTCGTATTATTGGTGCAATGTATAGGAGCGACGTTGAGATAGCATGATAGTAAGTTATTCTAGTTAATTCGATTTGCTTGTTTTCCTTTCTAGCTATTAATAAAATAAAATGTGAATCAATGCATCCTACAATTGATTGTAGGTATACGTCCTTAAAATGCTAAATCATAATGCAATTAGCTGTTCAACTTCATTTTTATGCCGCGATAAATTATGTGTTTGGCTGATGCTTCCATTGTTTTTCTTTTTGCCGATGTCGAGATTTTGGAATAATAAATAGACCCACTTCTGTGCTTCTTTTTTTTCTGAACATGAAAATAAAAAGAGTAATTGGCCATAAACGCAGAGAACCAATAGAATAAGTTAATGAAGTGTATGCTTAACGAATAACGTTCATATATTTACATCGATGTTCTAGAAGAAAAATCTTTTCCAAATCATGGAACTCGAGTTCAAATAGATGGAAGATAAAAGTGTTTTCGTTCGCTGACAAATATGATCATGTTGAACCTCCGGATTTAATATTTATCGTTAACAAAACGCAGAAAAACGCACGAAGTCACGATCTAAAGTGCTCTTGAGCAAGAAGTTCTCTTCTCTCGGAACTTTTCCTGTTTAAAGACAAACACGGACTTTCCTCAGACGCTTGATAGCAACATCAGAGGAGAAGAAAAAAAACTACATTTTGTCCTCTCTCGTTTTATTCGCCTCCGTATTCTTTCTCTCTCTCTCTCTCCTTTCTATCTCCGTTACTTTCTCTCATTCAGACTCATAAGTATTAGAGATCTTTACTGTCATTCTCCAGAAACACAATATATTTGTTTGTGCAGACAATTTGATTTGACCCACAAAAGAAAACATTATCTTGTAGGTAAATGAAATAATCTTCTTAAGAAAGATGATCTCAGTTTTCTTCATTCTTCTTTTGTTTCGCACTGTTATTCCATCCTACCTTCAATTATTTATAATAAAAAAATAATGAGATTGACAGCAAAGTTTTTTCCATACTCGTTGACAGTTAGGCATTCACTTAATGTACGATGAGACACTTTCTGTTATTGTCAACTACCAGTAGGCCGTAATAGAACAAGTAGATGTGGGCGTGCCAGCTTGAGTTTCGAGTTTTTCTTAGAGTCTAGATTCTCTGCTATAGGCGTTTTCCAATTGATAGATATATAAAACAGGAAAGAAAAATAAAGGTCCATAATTGAATAGAATAAGAATGACACGTTTGCGAGATTAAACGGTCAACAAGGAGAAAAAAAAGGAAAATCATGATTTTACTAGTTCATACGTCCAGAGCGTGCTTCCGAGATTCTCAATCGCTTGTAGGATTTCAGGTGAAAATGTATATAGACTCTGTATCCAGTTAAGCAAACTAACACACCATAATCCTATAAATGCGATAATTCGTTCATATCTTGATATATTAAAGCAAATAATTACAGAGAGTGACGTTAGATGTGTTCTCGAGAGATGCTTGCAAAAAAGAATTCAAATGAAAAGAATTTTTTTGTTCTACACCAAGTATCATTATGATGACTACTATTTGAGGATATTAAGTCATTATTTATAACTGCCTGCGATCACGCAGGTGGAAAGTCATCTCCCAATTATCTAACTACTCGCTTTGATC